AGCACTGAGAAAGTATTGCTGCCACTTGAAACTCTGCCGCCTGAAACTGCTAAAAACAGTGACCTTTCTACTTTCCCCTGCCTCAAGGTGAAATATTAACAACTTCCTCAAATGTGACAAACCAAAGATTTCAAAGGCATCAAATYGCCCAAAATGAAACAGCAAAATTACCTATGGAAACATATATAAGAAATACTTTCACATACCTCCTCACCTCTTATTTGTCAGTGATTTAATGGCCACACAAATCACTTCTGACCCATGCAGGTAGAGCCACAATTAGTTTAATTACACAGTGCAGGCTGTTGTTCAGTCAATTAGACWTTTCCTCCTATCCACACCATTTTAATGACAGCCAAGTAGCCCCAAGGATCGTGTGTCTTGTTTAGAGCCGTGACCAGCTGATCAGGGCACAGCAGACTCTTGGTTGATTTTCTGCTTGCTGCAGCAGCRGCAGCATATGCTTGAGCTTCCCATGTCCATGAAAGCTGGAGGGTCTGGGGAAGAGCTCCCTGCAGGRGCCTGAGGATGTGGGCAGAGTGCTGGCCCCACAGGGAGCCCACTCAGGGCTGGAGCATCGCTGTCCTGTCCAGCTGGGTCAGGCAGACAGGGCTTGTGCTTCACAGCCCTCTCTGAGTGCTGCCCAAGAGGTGCCWCTGCAGGCACCCTACCTTTCATCTCCCCTTCCCCTGAAGGGGATTTCTTGGTTGAAAGGGAAGTCAGCACTCACAAAAGATGTGAGAAAAAAGTAAATCAGCTCTTCTGGGTGATGGAACTGCTGGGTGACCTGCAGCTCCACCCCCTTTTCCACSCTCTTGCATAAGATSTGGGTTGCTGATGCCCCTGTCTGAMCTGCAGCTGCTGTCCAATGTGCCTCTTCCACGGCAGCCCATGTCACTCTTGGTAATGTGGCAGATGAGGTTCACACCACAACCTTATCCAGATGAGAAGAAGGGGCATTCAGGGCATGAGCCACATTTCATTCACCATTAAATAAATGGGACTCTCACATGAGGCCAGAACACACCTTGCAACCCCCAGCCACGAGGGGAGTTGTAGCAGTCCCTCACAGCCCTGAAAATGTTTTTGGAGCTGCTGGGAGTGGCTGCATCCTGCCATGCAATCGCTTTGCCATGGGGCACCCTCATTTTTGTGTTACACATGCAGGAGGAATGGGGATGGCTATCACACCTTCCTTGTCTCCAGATGCCACTTGAGGAGCCCTCTGGCTCCTCACCCCATGGGGGGAAGCGGGGTCACAACCTGCTCCTGGCCACAGACCGTGCTTCATTCACCGCTGCTGCTGTCACCTTGGTGTCTGTATCCACGTTACATCGTCCCTAAGGAAAGCAGGGGTTTGTGCCTTTTTTGGAAGATGCAAACAATGCAGCCTCTGAACCATTTTAATGCTCCCACTTTAAACACATCCTGGTCCCTGAGGAGCTTTCCCAGGAAGCAGAGAGATGGCAGGACTCTTTTCTACCCCCCACAGACTGTCCTGACCTATCTGAGCCACCCCAAGAGTGTGAGGATCAGAGCCAGGCCATATCCAATTCCCTCATGRAAGCATCTGAGCAGACTGAAGGCTTCCAGATTGGAAAAGACAGACAAATTGCTTAAAGGCATCCCTGTCTCCATCTTCCTCAGTGAAAGTACCGCATTAAAAAGATTAAAGGCCTATTTCTGGTTATTTTAAATGTGCTGATTAAATTTAAAAATGCTTTCCTTTTCTTAAATAGTGAAACTTGTCATGCTGGGATG